GGGGGGGGGGGGGGGGGGGGGGGGGGGTGGTATGCAGGATTCAATTTGACGAGAGAACCCGACATAGAATACATGATCCAGGTAACATAAAAGCAATGGTTTCTGTTTATTCCTCCTTATGCATTGCATGTATATGTTTTTGCCCTTAGAGTAAAAGGAAGGTTACTTGAGAAGGCGTGATGGTGTTCTTATGTGCATTCTGCAGAAATATCAAGCTAGAGATGTATGGTTCGAGCTCAGCGTTAAAGCGAGTGTAGAACTCGTCTCAAAGCTGTGGGTGGATTTCCCCTCATAAGATGTGAGCTTTGCTCTATAACTATCATGCCTGGTTTGAACATTTGAATCCAAACAAGCCTCATCTCTTTATTAGCTTTTACTTTCTTAATTACTCTTCCTGTGCTGATCATGCCTGCTTTTGAGGAATTAGGAGTACCACTGTTCATAATTGAGTTGCAAGTACAAATCACATTCATTTGTTGTTCTTTTGCACAGATGGCATCGATCACAATGATTTTTCCTCCTGTTTTATTTTTTATTTTTTATTTTTTTTTATGTTATTCATCTTCACTTGTGGTTCAATTTGACATTATTTCTCGACCCGAAAATTCAGAATCTTGAGTATTCTTTTAGGATGAGCATTGTAGTAGCTGTTCGCTTTTTTGTAAGGTATAGTACAAGAATGCAAACCTTGTTTCTCAATTATTCTGCTCTCTGTTTGAAAATTTGCCTGCATGAAAACAAAAAACAAACAGGGTTTTTTTTGGTACTGATTGGTACTGATGGGGCAGCTTCCAGTTTTTCTTGCTATCATCTAGTGAATTGGTCTAAAACAGTGTGTTCCTGGTAATTCCTAGGTGACTTTCCCATCTGGTTGATTGTTTGAACTCAAGACATCTTCTGAAGTTTTCATGTTAGTTTGTTTGATGTCGTGAGCTCAAAAAACATGTTCAAATAGGTTTGTCTTCGAACATTTAAAATTTTGATTCATTTCTATATTTACTGCTAGCAGATTTTGTTCTCTTTGAGCTTGCCTTTTTCGGGTTTTTCCTCAAGATTTTTAAAACGCATCTGTTAGGGAGAAGATTCCAAATCCTTATAAAGAATGTTTCGTTCTCTCTCCAACTGATGTGAGATCTCACAATCCACCCCTCTTCGGGGCCCAACGTCCTCGCTAGCACCATTCCCTTCTCCAATCGATGTGGGACCCCCCTCCCCCAATCCACCCCCTTCAGGGCCCAGCATCCTTACTGGCACGCTGCCTCGTGTCCATCCCCTTTGGAGCTTAGTCTCCTCGCCTAATATCTGGTTCTGATACCATTTGTAATTGGCTCTGATACCATTTGCAACAGCCCAAGCCCACCGCTTGCAAATATTGTCTTTTTTGGGCTTATGTCCTTTCGGGCTTCCCCTTGAGGTTTTTAAAACGCGTTTGTTAGAGAGAGTGTAAAAACCCTTATAAAGACTGCTTCGTTCCTCTCTAACCGATGTGGGTTCTCACATTTATGCTTTTGATATTTGAAGCTACTTTTAGTCCTAACCATTGAAACTTTATCCTTAGTAAAATGACCCAAATGGATAATAGATAAAGTTCAGGGACTAGATCCAAAACTCTAGAACTTTAGGGGGGAAAAAAATGATGGTATAAAAGATTTATGAAACATTTAATGTTTGAAGTAGGTGAGATTTAAGGGATGTGAAATTGAATATGAAGAACCACAATGCCTAACCATCCAACCAACAAGATAGTAAAAACCCCACTAAGTTTTGTTGGGCCAGCAGGTGTAGTCTAATCAATGCATTGTTTGTAACAGTCTTTATTGCAACCAAGCCTATTGTGCCACTATAACAAAGTCTTACTTATGCCCTCCCCCTTCATAAACAGCCTTTTAGTGCTCCATTAATGGTACAGGTAATCCCATTCAGTGGACTCTTGTTTTGTTTTTCCACTATACAAACTTTATTAGAAGTATAGCTAAATTAGTTAAGGTATCGTACCTTCGACTTAAAAAACTTTACAGTATTTTGTACTTCATCCGTTTGATCCTTGAGATGAGTTCTTTTACTAGATATTTGTATGAAACGTATACTCGTTCAATTTCTTGATCTGTTTGATCCTTGAGATGAGTTTTTGTCGTTACATTTTTAGTTGATATACATTTACTGTAACGCCGAGTTTTTTGGTCTGAGTTTTTGTCGTTTCATTTAGTCGGGTCGAAGTGTGAAAGAAAATGAAAAAGATAAAGAAAAGGAGTGAAAGGGAGTAGGAATAATGAATGATTGGCACATGGGAGTTTGGTGAGTTATAGTTTAATCACATCTTTTCATGTTTATTGGGGAAGAAGAAGAAGTAGAAGAAGATGATGATGATGATGATTCTGTTTAGAAACAGGGAATTGGGTGCTGAGAGAGGCCTTAGCCTTAGCTGTTTGTAGGCTATGCAGGTGGAATTGTCATCCAGTTAACCAACAGAGCCCCAAGTTTTGGCTAAAATGAGCACTGCATTTATGTGGCTCCACGAAATCCTCTCCTCTTGTCTCGCTTCCTGCTCTTCATCATTGCTATTCCCATGTGCTTTTGCCTCCCACACACTTAGAAAGAGAGAGAGAAACATCCCGAAACAGCCCCTCACCTCAGTGGTATGACGTTTTATTCTATTCTGGTTCAAATCTTTGATCTATCTGTCGAGTGTTTATGTCTTAGTTAATTGAATTATATTCAAGTTGATTAAAAGACTCTGTTTAGTCGTGGTATATCCTATTCATATTCAAATTTTTGATCTATTGTCAAGAGTTTGTGTTGAAGTTGATTAACTGACTCTGTTTAGTCCCGTTGTAGTAATTATTGTCTTAATTGATGGGTCTGATACGTTGTTTTGTGGAAAAATGGTGTTAAATGAGTCTTGTATAACTAAATCGTAATACAATCCTAGTTCGAGTGGTGTTTTGGTACGAGCGATTCATTACGAGAAAATGATTGCATCGATGTCTAGACAAGGGGTCATTAGATTGTTGTAGAAAGTGATGTTTTAATTTTGGTCTTAGATCAAGTGAATTATTGGTGAAAAATGCTTACTTTGATGGTCTTAAATGCAAGTGTATTATTGTGAAAGAAATAAGGCTAATTTGGTACAACTATATCTTTACTTTTAAGGACTTATTTGTGGAAAGTGATGTTTTAATGAGCGGATTTAGATCCATAGATAAATAATTGTCGAACACGTCTTAAATATGAACGTCTTTTTATGAAAATGTATTAATGGGTCATTTTGTACCACTGTATTCGTTATAGATGATGACAATTTTATGCATTGTTCTAAGGTGATCATTGTTTCGATTCTCTTAAAATATGATCATGCTAGTCGAATACTAGTGCTATTGAAAATATGATAGCGTGATGTTTAAGAACAGATACCAGTACTATTGAAAACATGATATAAGAACGAAGAATGTAGTATCGAGATATCAACATAGTTGTACTAAAATCGAAGCCTATAAATGAGGTGGTTGTGTTCTGATTGTACAAAATTACTAAACTAAGTATAAATCCGATGAACCTATTCCGACCTATCAAATAACTACGAATATAAATAGTCATAAAGACGCGTGTCCTTTCTCATTCATTAGCAAAGATAAGATTTTTCTTCGCTCAAACCTATTTAATTCGAGACATTGAACCCATTACTAAAAATTTCATAAATAAATAAATGGAAATTAATTTAATTAGGTCTCATAACTTTAATTATTTATAAAATAAGTGAGATTTGCATTAATTTCCAAGTAAAATTGAGCTGTCATCATCCAGCTCATTTCCTTTGGTTTCAAGTGTAAATAAAAAAAAAATAAATAAATAAAATAAATAAATTAAAAAAGAAAAAAAAAAGGGTATTTATTATTTATTTATTTTATTAAAAAATGGTAAAAATAAGAAATAAAATAAGGAATATTAGAATGTTGATTTTGTCTTGTAGTGAAGGAGGAGGAGACAAAGGCTTTGATATTAATGTGGAAGCATGCCAACTTAGACAAACCCATGAGTAAGGGAGAAGGGTTGTATTAATTAATTAATTAAATTAAATTAAATTAAATATATAATTGATTTATTAATTAAAATAAGTCTAAGGTTATAATAATAATAATAATAATAATAATAATAATAATAATACAAAATGTATATTGAAAAAGGGAAATTATCCAAATTACTTGCATGTGATAATATGGGTTTTTTTAATTAAAAAAAAATTAAAATTAGTATAATGAAAATAATTAGTCACATGCTATTGATTATTTTAGTAAAAATTAGGGTTTAATTAAGTAAAAGATTAATGGGAATAAATTTAATTAATTTAGTTTTAGTAAGCACACTTCATTTGGGGAGTATCAAACAAACCCTAAAGATTAGAGGTTTTGTCTTCAAGATAGCATGGAAGATCCCAAAAGCTAATATTCAAAAGCAAAGAATGTTTCTATCAAATCTCTTTCTTATATTCTATCTTACTACTTTATATCTCAAAACTCAAAATCCCCAAAACCCCGATAAAGTGATTTTAAAGATCTGACTTAACTTAAATGTGTGAACGTTAGTCAGTTGAGCTATACTCAAGTTGATATAATCCAACGAAGAATTTGTTTTTTTTTAAGTTAAAATGTAAGTAAGATGAGTGATTTGAACGACACACACTGAGAAAATTCATTCCTTTTCCTTAATTTTCTTTAGGAGTGTTTGTATGACTTGATGACACGAGCAATTTGGACCACTTAATCCATCCCAAGTTAGATTTTTTTCTTTTTTAGTTAGGTCGAGTTGAATTCTTGAAAATTGAAAATTCAGTTCAATTCGCGGGTTGGTACTTTGTTTGTCGAGTCAACTTGATCAATCCGAAGATATGTTTCATAATCCAACTCAATCCAACCCTACCCAGTTAAAGATTATTGTGAAGATTAAGAATATTTGACGTTAGTTAGTGATGCAATGTGACTTGTGAATATTTGATTTTTAAGTTTTATGAAATTTTAGTTATTAACGTAACATGTATCGTTGATAAGTGATTTTTCTTTTAAATAATTAAGAAAATGTACAACCAGATGATCCAACCTAACCAAACTCGAAAAGAGAGGGTTGAATTGAGTTGTATTGTAAATCCTATCCAGGTCAATATCCGGGTCATTCGGGTCATCAGCTCAATCCAATCCAACCCATGTATACCTATAAGTTTCTAAATCTCGTAAAAAGTAATACACGATAACTTTTTTTTAAACTATTTTGAATAAGTTGGCATGAGATGTCTTTTGTTTGCTTCAAAAAGAAAAAGTTTTTACATTCTTTTCATATTGAAACAAGTGAGAAATAAAGTGATGCCTCTTGATTTGGTGACAAAAAGTACAAAACCACAAGAGACCAAAGTGGTTTATATAATATTATCATTGGAGATTGTAAAAGTTTGGTAAGGAACTCCAAGCACAAAGTAACTTTGACATTGAAATGAGAGCTTGGGTTCCTTTAGTCGATATCATGAAATGGAAGGACATGCATCAATCCCTCTTAA